GATCTATAAAAACTTATTAAGGAAAATGTTTAATCCTACAATTCTGCAGGATGTTTTTTAGCACATATTTAAAGTGCATTGCCTACATAGATAATTCAAAGTAAAAAAATGTTTAATCCTACAATTCTGCAGGATGTTTTTTACTGGAAATAAAGTCAGCAATAATTAAGCAATAAATAATAATAATAATAATAATACCAATAGAATGAAAAGAGGAAAAGATTGTCCTTTAGGGTTTAGGGAATACACTACTAACTAGTATTTAGACCCGTGCAAAGCACGGTTTCTAAAAGATTTTCTGCAAATTGGTGGCCTAATAACGATTTCAATAATGTGAAGGTTTAATTTTAATAATATGGGAACCTAATAGCAGTTTTAACAATATAAGGGACTAATTCAAAAAAAAGAAATATTTAAGGGACTAATATCAAAACTAAGAAGTAAAATTGTAATGAAACTCACTCTTCTTTTAACTAATATGAACCTACAAAATTACCTTATGAATCCTTCCCCTCAAGTTATCCATTTTGAAGGAATAATAGTGTAGATGAAAAAGTTTCAACCGGCGATTCATCGTGAGGACGCTTATTCATACAAGTTATAGCTTATTATACCAATGAATTTAGCAGTTACAATATTCTAATTATGCGAGAATCGTCAACTTTTATCAACAGTTTGACGGTGCAGAAGTTTCCTTCTAGGAATATGAAGTTATATATGTAGAAATCATATAAATGAGAACAATGAGCTTAGCAGTAAAAACTGCAGTTCCACAACACCAACTAAAGACAGAGGTAACAATGACAGTCTCATCAAGAAATTTTAAGAGTCTTCCCATGGAAACATCAATTCCTACTGAAAATGGCAAGTCAGATAAAAATCTCATGCACCCCAAGCTTAAACCCGCTGGCCAAATTTTAAAGTATATGCCAATAGCTAGCAACAAAACAATGAATACCTAATCTTGCAAAAAAAGGGAAACAAAGAACTGATACATTACAACAATGCATGTCATTTCTTAGATATTAGTCACTACATACAGCCCACATTTCAATATGGCAGTAGTCCCAGTATAAAATCAGCTAAGATTCTGATCTAGAAGCACACAACTCTGAGCTTTATGGCCGAATCAACCACTTATAAAAGAAAAAATTATTTTTAAAAATTGAAAAACCCTGTACTATAATATAATAAATTTAAAACCCTGTTCAATCAGCCGTATAATATTCATTCTCACGTATATATAACACAAATATTTTAATAAAAATATCCCAACATAATAAATATTGTTTATACAGCACACCATGAAATATTGTTTATACAGCACACACTCATTCATTATTTTCAAAGATAAAAAAAACAAATCAGTCCTCCTGATCATCATCATCATCATCCTCATCACCAGTTCCACCTGCAAATATAAGTCCCAACCTGCAAATATAAATCAAACGTTAACAACATGGCATGACATGCAAGTATAGAATTAAGAGAGTATCATGGCATATTCTTATGTATTACATGTTTCGATTGGGTTTGCAGGGGTGGGTGGGTTTTGCACCAAACTATCATGAACTTCTTTAATTACTGAAAATTAACATTTACTTTTTTCCACACTAAACTACCATGCCTTGATGGTAGTTAGGGTCCAGACGTGTTTTAGAAATTTTGCTCTTATGTACTTTTTACTTTACCAAAAGAGTTTTTCGGGTTAGAGTAGATAGACATTATTAAGCTTATTTTAGACCTTTGTCCAAGACATAACGCCGCTAACAACAATTTCCAGTAATTCATGGTATTTTCCCACAATTGTGAAAGTGTATGATAGTTTGATTTAATAAAAATGTTTTATAGTAGTTTTGTGCAAACCCCTCAAAGTTCATGATAGTTCAGAGGGATTTACCCTATAAAATGCATCATACTGAGCAATATATACCGCGATAAAACAAACAAGTTAAAAGTTAAAACCTTACCTAGGAGTTATGTGCCCATAGAAGTACACTAATGGCATTTCAAGAGGAATCCCTTCGACTGCGTCTATAGGCATTTCGA